GAGGGAACATCCTGCCCGGTGGGATCCAACCGCCTTGAGCTGGGTGATCCCAGGTACTCCTGCTCCTCATCCCCAGCCCCCCGCACTCGTTGATCTGGACCCGAGCGGATCTGACAAAACCCATCAGGACCGACCCCAGCGGCCACATCGTCCTGGCCGGGACCAACAACGGGATCAGGTAAGGACCTATTTGTCCATTCACTGATCATGGGCTGTAAGACCCAGCCAAATAACAGGTAAGGACCTGACGGGGACCCCAGGAAGCCTTCAGTGCCCGAAGCCGGCCAGCCTCCTCGCCACCACTGATGGAGCCCCCCACCCCGCAGGTGGCTGTGCCGGCGGCATTCTCCCTGCCACGATATCCTGCCCTCGGGGCTCCTCGCACCCGATTACTACTTCCTGTTGGAGGTGACCAACAGGTGAGCACTGGCCCCACAGGAACTCCCCGCCCCCCCAAGCACAGACTGCCTGAGAGCCCCGTTTTAGATGGGGGAAACTGAGGCGCAAGGCGGGAATGCAAGAGTCCCGGCAGGTTGGAGGGCTTCCAAGTCACAGCTGGAAGAGACTCGAGCAGCCCGGGGACTTTACCCCATTCCTTGGGAGCCACGTCACAGGGGCTGGGAAGCGCCCCCCCGGGGGAGAGAGCCTCCCACCCGCGCCCCACCCCCCAGCAAACCACGTTGCAGAGGACTCTAGGAAGTCGACCCCACGCAGCTCCCTGCATCCACAGGGGTGTGGACGAGAGCACGTACTGTGACTATGACCTGGACTTCATCATCCATGTCCATGGGCTGCCCCTGAGCCCCGAACGCAAGTACTTCTACGTGAAGGTGAGCAGGGCTGGGGGGGACCTCGCTGCTGACCCCACGGGGGAGAGAACCCAGGAGCCCTGGCACTGCGCACCAGGGCTCTCCCTCCCCCGGTCTCCTTCCACCCCCCCTGCAAAGCCATGGGTCACTGCCATCAACAAGCCTGACCCCCCCCGCACCCCCTTTTCCCTGGGTTTGGCCCCCCACAGATCACCATGGCCATCCTCTGGGGCCTCCTGATCGTCTACATCCTGTACCACGCGTTGGCACCCAAGATTCGGGCCCTCTGGACCCGGCTGCTCCAGCGCCTGGAGGATATCGTCGTCCTCCGTTCAGGTGGGGAGGGGGTGGGGGGTCCCGTACCCCCCAGGGCTGAAGAGAGGGGCTCTCCCACCGCATGGGCACTCCCCCCTTGGTATGGAGGCCTGCTCCTGTGCCCCCCAGATCTCAGCTCCGCCCTGCTTTGCCCTTGCAGAGTCCATGTCCACCTTCTCATCGCCCCACACCAGCTTCTCCTTGGACCCCGAGACGGGCGCCGAGTCCCCCCACAGCAACCACAGGAGCTCTGTCCCCCAAGTCCCAGCCTCAGTGAGTTGGCATCAGCCCCACCAGGGCAACCCCAGCTCCTGGGAGCGATGCCCTGACACACGAGGGGCTGAGCCCCCATCCCAGCTTCAAGGGAGGGGGTCGGCTTGGGTCAGGGAGGCAGGATCGGGGCCCTTCCAGCTAGCAAGCAGACTGGAGAGGCCATGAATCCGACCTGGGGGAGGAGGGCCGGCATGCCAGTGGCGCTCAGTTTACCCAGTTTGACCAGTCAGACCTCAACCCAGTCCTGGGGGAAGGATGGGCTGACATCCCAGTAGCTCCCAGTTGTCCCCAGTCCACCCACAGACTGAGCAGGCCTTGTCTCCCATCAACAGGACTAGGTCCCAGAGCTGCAGCCACCGGCACAGGAGACAGCAGGCACTTCTTGGGGCACAGGCCTGCCCCCCCAACTCCCCCAGACCCCTCGTTATATTCAATAAATGCCCCCACGGTCTGTTCCAGCCTGTTCCAACCTGGGGTCTCTGGTGGGCACAGCAGGGGGGCGGGAGCCCAGACACCTGGGCTCCCTGCTCCCATCTGGGAGGGGAGTGGGGCCACGTGGTTGGAGCATGTGGGTGCTGGGAGCCCGGATGCCTGGGTCCCCCCTCACCTCGCAGGGGGGCAGGAGCCAGTCTTGCGGCAGGGTCTTACCAGAAGAGCTGGGTCATTTCTTCCCAGGGAACTGGGATGCCTGGGTCCACGCCCAGCCCAGGGTCCCACGAAGCTTGAGGGGGTGGAACATGGGGGGCCGGGAACCCAGACACCTGGGCTGTCCCCCCAGCTCTGAGGGGCGCGGGTGCTGATGGATGAGAGCAGAGGAGCCCCAGATGCGCCCACCCCCTCCTCAGAGCTGGGGCAGCAGGGCCCCGATCCCAGCCCCCCCAAGAAGGGGAAGGGGGGTGGGGGGGCACACATGCTTCCTGGAGCCGCACAGCCTGGACTCAGTTGCCACCCTAACAGCTCCAGCCTGCGCTATAAATAGGTGATTAGCACTAATGGCGCTCGTTAGCGGTAATTACTCCAAGCTGGCAGCGCCTCCCAGCCAGCCCCACCTGGGGCCTGGCGCTGGGGTCCTCTGCCCAGCCCCAGGAACCTGGTATCTCTGGGGCTGGGGGGACACCGGGATGCCTGGTTTCTCTCCTGACATTTCAGGGGGGCTGGACTCCTGGGTTCACCTCCGGCGGGGGGTCAGGACACCTGGGTTCATCCTGACCAGGAGGGGAGTGAGTCCCGCTGGGCAGAGTCTGGGGAGCAGGACTCCTGGGAGGACCCCGCGGAACAGCTGCCCCCCAGACTCAGCCGCAGTTTCCCCAGGCAGCAGCGGAGCCTGCAACTAGGCCCCGCTGCCCCGATCCCTCCAGGCCCCCCCAGCCCCGGCGCTGCCGCTAATCGCATGTGACACCCGTGGCCGCCCCCCCGGCCCCGGAGCCGGCGGAGATGGGGGTGCCTAATGAAGCCGATTGGCCGCGGCCCGGAGCGCGGGGCTGGGAGCCAGGAGGTTAATCGCTACTAAAAATAGCCCGCCGGGAAGGGCGGCACGGGGGCCTCGGCCCCCCAGTGCTGGGGGCTGGGCCCAGGGCCCCGCTTTGCTCCCGCAGGCGAGCAGGGAACCCAGGCGTCCGGGCTCCCGGCCCCCTCTGCTGTAACCACTAGTCCCAAAGCCCCCCCATCCCCAGAGAGCTACAAAGGCACCCAGGCGTCAGGCTCCCTGCTCCAATCCTGCTCTAACCACTAGACCCGCACACCCGAGCTGGGGAGAGAACCCGGGCATCCGGGCTCCCCATCCTTTGATCTCTGGGGTAGGGAGGGTAGTTTTGGGGTCCCCCCTGCCCCCCCCAGTTCTTCCTGGGGGCCTGAGCTGGGAGCCTGGATGCGCGGGTTCCCTCCTAGCGCTGGGGGGGAGGTGGGGCCGCTTTGCTCCCCCATCTTTCAGCTGGGGGGTG